TAGCAAGTATTGTATATACCTCAAATTATTTTAGCTTTATTAATAAATTATTACTATTTACTCAGATGCTTTGATATTCACATAAATGTTAGTTTTGTCAAATATCAGTTATTCTTAAATATTTTTTTTAAATAAATAATCCAGCACAATTTATGAATAGTTATAAAGTTATATTAATTGAATTTACCTAATGATATTTTAAAAATAAAAGCTACTTTTTATTTAGATTATTATTCAAATTTTGTTCCATTATTACTTATATTATTAGTTATAAATTATTATATTATTTTGGCATAGGCATAATGTCAAACCAGTTGTAAATCATTGTATAAATAAATAAATATTGATTCTTTATATTTTACACAATTATTTATACTTAATATTTGCAAAAGCTTACAATTGTAAGCAATTTTATTTAATTATTTAAGTTAGTAATCATCAACACTACAAAATTAGTAAAATTCAATCAGTTATATAAGCTAATTAACTTTAAATTTACAGATATAGTCTAGATTAAATTTTCTAATTATACGAAAAGCATGCTCTTATTATTTTATTAACAATATTTTATTAAAAAAATTATTATAATTATTATAACTTTCCAATAAAACACAACTTTCTTCAACAAATAGTCGAACCTATCGTAAACCTATTGATTGTAATACAAAAACTCAAAATTAATAAATAATTACAACATATAAACATAAACACAAATGTATGTGCTAAACATAATAAATAAGAAATTAAATTTTATTTTATTAAATTAGTAATCAACAATACAATATTGTTAATTTAATTAAATTTGTTATAATTAATAGTCAATAAGTATTTTTACTAAACAAAAAATACTAACTAAACACTAAAACTGTTATGACATCGAGCATAATAAATATCTACTATTACATCTAATATGTAGAAGAGAGCTAACAATAATGTCACTAAAAACTAAATAAAACATGATCATACTATTGTAATTACCAGTCCATTTCGCGTTTCCAGAGCTCAAGCAGGCCAGTGCCAGCCCAGACTTGCGCCGCCCGGGCATCGATGGCATCGCTCTCGGGACGATTCAAATGTGAGCGCCAGTCCCCGGATTTGCCCGACCGGAAATGTGGGTCTGATTTATTGAGCGACCCTTTCATAGCGTTAAAACTAGACTCCCGAACGACCCGTTCCAGAAGGGTTTCCCCGGTGTCGCTCTCCCGCTCTGTAAGTCGGGCCACGTATTTGGGTCCCAAGAATGTGGCAATTTGTCTGACACCCTGTGCCGGATTGGCCAGCATATACTCGTAAATGACTAGGGTGCAGTTTGGGTCGTCCCGGTGCGACCAGTAGTCCCGTACCGCTTCGAAGTAGTCACCAAACGGTAGCTCAGATTTGCCGCTAATCCATAGCTATGTGTTATAAAAATATATATTTATTAATATAAACAAGAATATTACCCTAAAATATACTTAAATAAATCCAAATTTACATGTATTACTTACTAAGCTAGCGTGATTAACTAACAAATAACTAGTAGGCTTATTTTAAACATTCAACAATTTTTTTACTTACTTTAAAATACTCTTTAAAGTCAATGTCCATCTCAAATACCTCTTTAAAATAATAGTAAAACGAAACGCAAACATCTTTAGGGTTGCGCAACAGCAACAGATACCGGGGCTCCGGGCGGTACGGGAACAGCTTAAAGGCCAGATGACTTCTGATAAAAGTAACCTCGCCCAATTCTTTGGCTGACTTACCAGCCTCCCTATCCAACAGCGCTTTACCGTGATATTCAAGAAAGTATTTACGATAAAATAGCTCGTTGGTGTCCGGTTTGCGACCCTGAGCCATTAGCTGGGTCACGATGAACTCGGCCCACCACGTGCCCGACTTCGGGTAAGTGAGCATGATACGATCTCGGGAACGGGGTTTGTAGTCTAGCGCGTACTCTACCGTAGAGGGCAGGAATCGTTTGCCGTAATAATTGCCCCTGATCTCGTGGAATTTGTCGCTGAGTTTAAACATGGTGATTTATTGACGTCGGGATTATGTTGTAAGTTGTTTAGTTATGTGTATATTAGATTTTATAACTTGTTAAGTTTGGTAATTGTTGTACACTATAATAATAATGTTGAATAATATTTGTTAAATTGTAGTAGATGTATAAGTTTTATTTAACTGTTTTTTATGTACTGTAATGATTTTGATAATATTTTGTTTATCATCATAAAACGTTTTTTGTTTATTTTTTGCTTATGTTTAGTTTACTTTTTAAAAGTATTATTTTATTTCAACATTGAATTTATATTTTTCTATAAATTAAATAAATTTTTCCAAATATAAATAATTTAGGAATGTTGCAATAATTTATTTAAATATTAGTTAAGCTCTCTCTCTCTCTCTCTCTCTCTCTCTCTCTCTCTCATCTATTAATTTTATTATTCAAGAAAATTGAGCTTGCAATAATTTATTATATCTTAAATAATAAGCATTACACACAAAAATTACAATTTTTGAAAATATAACTAAATAGAAAGTGTTATGTCATTATAAGTTACTTAATCAACAGTCCATACGTATAAATAATAACATATATATCCAAACTATTTGATACTAGTTAGTAATAATAAAAATTGATATTGTTTCTCTGCATTAACAAAAATATAAATACCCATTGTTAAATTGCTTATAAAATATACATATCAATTGTAGTTTAACAAGCTAATTTAATGGATCTAATAACTATATTAGCTATTTTAATTGGTGTGAGTTATTTTATTTATAGGTATTATAATTATTTTAATAAAAACTTGTTAAATAAAATAATTAATTTTATTATTTTAATAGGTATTTGACCCGTCCGTATGATTACTGGTCAAAACGGGGTATTCAGGGTCCAAAACCTGTACCGTTTTTTGGGAATTTGTTACAGCTGTTGACTACACCTCAACCGTTGCAAGAGATTAACTGGTGTAATAAATATGGCAAGATTTATGGGTAAGTTTTCATATATTACAATTAATAGTTTTATTTTTATTAATAGATTTATTTTCATTACAATTTCATTAGTATTAGCACTAGTAAATAAAAATTACATAAAACAATATTTTTAAATAAAATAAAATGTTTTACTCGCAGGTACACTAAACATTAACTTTTTAACAATCACTATAAAATATTTAACTGGTTTTGGCAGGCATATTGTAAAATTTTTAAATAACTATATTTAACGAATAGAATAATCCAAGTAATTAAAAATCATTGCATAATTTAACATGATACTGGCAGACACTACATCGGCAAAACACCCATATTGAACATACTGGAACCGGAAGTGATCAGGAACATTTTGGTAAAAGACTTTCACTTGTTTGCCGATCGCTATCACATCCGGTCGGCCAGCGATACAGTGGTCAGCAAAACACTGTTTCACATGAATGGCGACCAATGGAAACGTCTGCGCGCTATAGTCAGCCCGACGTTCAGTTCGGGCAAAATGCGCAAAATGTTCCCCAGAATTAGGGAATGTTTGGCCGACCTCTTGGAACAGGTATTGCAATATATTATACTTAACTTTTAATCTTAAAACGTTTTGTGCAGGCTTATGGTATAGTGTTTAAATAGGCTTAATCAAAATAATATTAATTATTTTATAATTTCTAAATGTCAATACAGATAAATAAGCATAGGCATAAAGTTCAGGCTTGTAGACACTTTCTGTTTAATAGTCAATAAACTGTAAATAAATATCTACTTCAATTAAACATGTAGTGTTTAAAAGAGATATGAATTATAAATGGGTTAGATTATATTGAAACATATAATATATTAATAATTAAAATTGATTCTAGTAGCGTTAATTTTTTAATAAAATAGTTATAAATTATATTAGGTATTAAAATAAAATTTCAAAAATTCCATAGTCGTGAGATGACATTCGAGTTTAAAATGTAAATTTTAGCTGATCTAATTGTAATTTTACAAAATAATCTGTACAATATAGTTGGACGGATACGCTGTTTCCGGACGCCCGGTCGACGTAAAGGACATGTACGAGAATTACACCATGGACGTAATCGCAACATGCGCGTTCGCCACCAAGACCAACGTGTACAAGGGTGATATAAGCCCATTTGTGATTAACGCACGCAAAGCATTTAGCTCAATCAATATAGCTGATTTTGCTACCCTGATACCGGCGTTTATTAAACGTTGGCTGGGCATGGCCATCACCAAGAAGATTCAATTTTTTATTGATTCCACCAAGCACATTTTGCAGATTAGACGTGACTCGCCTAATAGTAAGCATAATGATTTTATTCAGATACTGATGGACGCCGTGATTGACAATGAGGGTGGCAGTAGCCGAGAGGACCAGGATGCTAATGAAGCTCATTACGTTAATGAAGGTAATCTATTACTGTATAATAAAGTTTAATTCAAAGTCTTAAGTTATAAATATTAGTGCTGAATTTGTTTTAACTAGTTTATTAAAAATTTTATTGGACAATAATGTCAAGTATTATTAAGTAATAATTGTATTGGTCAAATGATACAGTACATCATTATGAGGCATTTAACTTAATTTACATGTTGTTTTAATTAGCTAAATTATTATTATACAAGGGCATAGTTTCCTTTTAATATAAGTTTAAAAATACCCGAAACTGTAAATAAGTAATTATATTTCACAAATGTATGTTGGTTTTAATTTGTTAGTATTGTAAATGGGAATTATAAAAGAATATAATTTATTATATCAAATTAAAAATATAATTTACATTATTGCAATTCATATTCAACATTAATCACTATAAACGTACAAAACATAAATTAAATTAAACAAAGCAATAATATAGTCCACCGGTAAATAAAATAAAAAACTTTTAACAAATGGTTGCAATGTGCTCGAAATTAATTAAATAACGCTGCAAACTGTAGATAAATTATTATACCTATTTAAAATTAATTATTCAAAATTTATACTAGTAAAACGGGTCGAAGTCAAACAACGCAATCAATATTATTATTTAATTATTAAAAAATACTAAATTTTGTTAATAACACAATCAAACCGTAGGCGAGGAGGAGTTGGCAATCGAGCGCAAGACTCTCAAAATAAAAGTGACCGAAAACAAACTGACCGAGAACGAAATACTGGCCCAGGCGTTCATGTTCTTCCTGGCCGGCTACGAGACATCGGCCACCACCCTATCATTCCTATCGTACGAGCTCGCTATGGCACCCGACATACAACAGCGCCTGTACGACGAAATCGTGGCCAACCTAGATGAAAACACTGGTGAAATGGACTACGACAAGTTGGCCACTCTACCCTACCTGGACGCCGTAGTGTCCGAGACACTGCGCATGCACTCGCCCGCGCAGCGCATGCCACGTGTGTGTTCGGTCGAGTACGCCCTAGGTGATACTGGTGTGGTAATACCAGCTGGCCAAAATATTGATATTCCCATTTACGCGCTGCACCATTGCCCGGAGTTTTACCCGGAACCCTTTAAGTTTGACCCGGATCGTTTTCTCGGCGAGAATAAGCGTAAGGTTAAGCCCTATACGTATTTGCCGTTCGGCGCCGGCCCTCGCAATTGCATTGGTATGCGGTTCTCGTTGTTGGAGATTAAGCTCGGGTTGGCTCACATTATGAAACGCTACCGCTTCACTACCTGTCCGTCCACTGACCGGCCCATACAGTACAAGCGTATGTTACGTATTGGTGCCCCGCAGCGAATGATCCTGGGCATTGAGAAACGCTATGTTAATTAGATTATGATTATTTGTTGTTTATTTTGACAAACCTTGTTAATTTTTTATCTGTTGTAGTTTTATTTGATTGGATTTATTATTTTATCAATAGTTTATTGTAGAATTAGATTTATGTTAATTATTTTTTATTGATAGTTATAGTAAAAGTTGTAAATTAATTTGTTGTTGATTTTATTATTTAATAAATGTTATTGTTAATTATAATATTAATAATACATTAATTAATTTTAAAATTTGTATATTAAAATACTAAGCTAACACACTCATATGTCCATGGCCAATGGGCTACTTATATGGGTTGAAAGTTTCAACTTGAAACACAAATAACCAAAATAACAATATAAATAAAATGTCTTTTTATTTTAAATAAATAGTGTTTTTTAAATTATTCTTAATAAGAAAACATTTCAAATTATAAAAATTACATTCATTTGACTTTTTATATTCATCCCAGCCTTTTAATGTTTTCCTGGACCAGCGAACTTTCCCATTAAATAGCTAATTTAAACATTAATTTAAAAGAACGATTAATATTGAATAAATTATTAAAATTCACAATGTCTTTTTACCTGTAGTGAATTTTCCACTTATTATCACGCCCATTGTGCGTGTTACTCTTTTCACAAGTCGTCTTAGATGTGTCATCTAGTTTATTCTTGTTGTCTATATAGCATACCGGGCGATCTTTTTTGCATTCGCCAAAGCATTTGTCATCAAATTTTTTTATCCATTTTATCACCTTTCTGAATAACGTATATGTTTCCTTTATATTGGTATTTATGCTTTTCTCCATCTATTTCCAAACAAGTGATGACCAGCGCCAGTATTACGGGTAGCCACAACTTAGATCTCATCTTGTTTGTTAGCAATTAAAATTTTTAATTAATTATAAAACTATATATATACAGATTGTATTCAATTAGGGCTCAAACTATTAAAACTTAAGGTAATTTACTAACAGCTACGGGAATTGGTCGGGACAACGATTTAAATATTGTGTTACTTCTCTATGAGAAATCACTATAAAAAAATATTAACAAACATACTTTTATAAACTGAATTTCGGGCAAGTTGATTAGTTAATGATTTTGAACTAATTCTAATGGAGATTGTTAAATATAATTAATTACAAACACAACACACATCACCATTTGTTGCATAATTGGTGTATAAAAATCAATTAATTAAATTTATATCACTCAAAAATGTAGTATTAAATTACAAATAGTTTTTTAAATGGTAAATTGGAGAGGGAGTTACAAAATTAACAAAATATTAAATTAACATTAAACGGAGGCCTACAGTTTAATTATGCTAAATCAACAAAATCATGCATGTCCAGTTTTTTTTACTCATGGCAGATGAATGGCACAAACTAGTGCTCAAACACCCGCCGAACTCACTTGTGTCCACCCGCACATAGATCTGAGTTTATATAAACTTTAACAACATTAAACTATAAAAGTAATTGTAGTATTGTTAGTTTACAGTTTAATAAACTAGTTATAATTTAGAATAATGGTATCAATTAACAAATGTACCTTAATTTTGATGAATGTAAGACCAGGAACCAAACAATCTTGTGCCAATTAATACACTTTATTATAAAAAGTTAGATTTTTGTTAAAATATAGTTATCCAATACAATTTAAAATACGCTTGAGGTTTAATAGATGTAATAGGTTTACAGTCAAAACTCTGTGTTGTGAATAGATCGGGTCCAGGACTTTTGGTTTATAACAAAGAGTTGTTCACAACATAGAGTTTGTTTTAACATTAAGTCTATGTGGTGTAGGTTTTGGTTTGTGGTTCATAACATAGAGTAGTTCACATCATAGAAGGTTCACAGCATAGAGTTCCCACTGTATAAGCAAGTGAATCGAGTAGTGCGGCGTTTATCCGGTATATAATTAAAATATAGGATAATGTTATCAAAACATCAGGGAATTTATAATTAATAAAAATTTTCACTACAGTATAACTGAATTCTAATAGAAATTTTTAAATATAATTAATTGGAAACACACCACGTTGTTGCATAATGTACATAAAAATCAATTAATTCACTCACAAAATTAGTAATAAATTACAATTTAATTATGCTAAGTCAACAAATTTATGCGTGTCCAGTTTTGACCTACGGCAGATGAATAGCACAACCAAGTGCACAAACACCCAGTGAACTCAAATGTGTCCACCCATGTGTATTTCACTTTCTAAATTGTTATTTTATTTTAATATTGAAATTAAATATTTTATAAAATAAATAAAATTTTTCAAAAATGAATGGGATAGGAATGTAGCTCATTGCTATTTTTAAATTAATGATTTATTTTAATAATAGGTAATTCTCTCTCTCTCTCTCTCTCTATTTACATGAATTTCTGTCTCATTCATCAAAATCATTTGCGGCCAATATTAGCCATTATATACACAGCATATCCAT